GAGCAATGGGGCTTTTGAAACTGTTATCGACCGTATTTAGAAACGATTTAGGCGCGATACGTCGACGATAATCCGGAATACGTGGACGGAACCGTGGCCAATTGGCGGCAAAGCGTTGCGTTTTTTGGCTATCTTTATTGATTTTCCGCGGCATCACCACCTTTGTGAATATTTTACTCGTTGGAGAAGCCGACGATGGAATCGCCTGTGATGGCGACATCCACCCTTTTGTGAATACGCATTGGACAGATATCGTGCTCCTCGAGATTATTGTATCTCGTCTATGCGCAATTTAACGACATTTTTATGTCGTTACAATGTCACGAACTTATAAATTGAATATCTTGAAAAAAATATCAATAATTATCTTATTATATTTAAATTTCCAACGATATTTTAGATCTGGATATATAATTTAAACAAGATGGGAAAGAATGATCATTTAATGTCGATGATAAAAAAAATTGAGAACAACGATAGAAGAAAAGAATGATAAAAGAATTGTATCAAATTTCCATTTCGTTCATTATTAAACCGTAAATAATTTGTTCTTCGAAATTTTATTATTTTTTGTGATATTAATACAAACGTTTAATCAATCGAATTAATTGAAGCGAGTGATTCGATATAAAAATATATGTCAAAAGCAGGAATAGTGGCCATAGCTAGAAGAATGAAAAATTCGTTGAGCGCACGTGATAAAAACGGAATAACATGACTCACGTATGAACGAGAATTGTTTTTCCTCGGGGAAAATTGCTCGATTGCGCGATCATGGTCTGGACCATCGACTTTGATAGCAAATTCGCAAATAGAATAAAAGAATTATTTTACATATCCTTTAATACGAAGGAGATCGTATAACCATTTATTCGAACGGACAAAAAGATTTAAATTTTATTCTAAAAATACTCCATTATTAATTTCAATTTCTTTTTTTTTTTTCTAATTTAACAACAAAAAGAAAATTATTCGATTAGGAGCACGCTTCGATCGAACTTATCCTACAATTTATGAGAAGAAGATATATAATTTTCTTGAAGAACACTTGCCTCAAGATAAACGTTCCGCCGTGGAAACATGTGCATACGTGTTTCGAAGAGGAACGATCAATTCTGTGAGATATTTGGAAACCGCGAGCGCCGCTTAAGCTGGCTTTACCGTATGACGTATGCCACGAGTCGTTCCGCTCGATGAGAATCGCAAAATCTTATGGGGGAGGTCGGTTAATCTGTAAAATATTGCAGACATATCCTTACTTACGCGCTTTCCCGTGCGGAAAAACGTATCCATACTTGCCCCGGGGACAAAGTTTATTCTATCTGTAGGGAAAGTAAACACGTGCGGAATATATCTTCCTTTTTTTTTTTTTTTTGGAATAATATTTGCCTTTATCCGTATCACCCTCCTTAAATTTGAATTACATATATTATTATTTCGTTTCACGAGATTGATAATTTTCTTATATGAATATTATGATAAAAATATTTCGTACCATCATACTTTTTAATATCGTGTTATTTTCTAATAGTAAAACGGAAAATCAATGCTCTCCAATCTTTCAGATTTGGCGAAGACAGTTTCTGCAAATATTAATTTTTAAGGTAACAAAAATTTACGAAATTAATGAAAACGATTCGATTTCATCGTGGTCTGAATGTTACGATGAGATGGGAAATGCAAAGTTTATTTACTCGATCATTCCCTAAACTAAATAGGGTAGTTTATAATTTATCCCTTACTAGATCAGCAATATTCGATTTCCTTAACATTGTATTCCCTACATTGAGTCGAGCAAGTTCGAGGGAAGCACTTATCGTTGTTATCCGTCACTTTCCAGATATTCATAGTACCGCGGTTCCATTAGCTGAAGTTTATGCACCCACTGCATGTAGATACGTCGTGCAAATTAATCCCCCTAAAATCATCAACAACAATCACTTATATTTACATATATTTTACTTGTAAATATCTCGTTTCACCATCGAATTTTAAGGTAAGAAAAGAAAAAAAATCTATCTCGTACATCCTCTCTCTTATTTTATAAACAATAATTTGTCATTAATAATGTAACGATATTCAAGCTTTCCTCTATAATTCCTCCTCCTCCAAAAAAAAAGAAAATAACTATTATTTCTGTACACCTATTAATTCGAAATTTTTTTCAAACACGGCCTAAGCCGTGTATAACAACGTATCACGATATATTGCATCCCGGAGACTTCTGGCGCACAGCTGAGTCTCCGGCCAGCATCGTCGCTCGACGATGCGGATAATACGGTTTTAACGAACTGTTTTCCATAATGCAAGTAAAGCATTATCAGGCTGTTGAGTACGTATAGCCCTATACGTCGGATATTGGAAGCCGTTAACTTTAACGCCTCGATCCATGCCGCTCGAGAGCGGTGTTATAAATTCCTCCCATCTACTGGGAGGAGAATACAAGAAGACGAGAGGGATGGCGTCGATCGACGTATGATGCTATAAAAATTAACGGCACATCCGCTAAAAGGGAATATGAGGTTTCATCTGGCAAGTCTTTCTGCCTTTTTGATAAAAATAATTGCGAAAATATTACATCTTTAAGCGATTATGTACGAGTTATGAAAATTTAGAATAACGTGTTATAATAAAAGTACAAGTGTTAATATGATATATAATAAGAAAATTAAGGATATTTTATTATCTCCCCATTTTTCATTACTTCTAATAATTACAAAATTATTATAGTTTTTTATCTTAAAATTTTGTCAATGTTCTAAGCTTTTGAAAATATTTTTATATCGATTATGTAACAAATGAAACGAGATCGATTGAACGAACAAAATTTGTAAACTTCATACTCTCGAAATATAATAGTATCGAAGCTTAGTGTATTATTTCGATATCGCGAAATACAAGGCAGAGAGACGTGTATTTTCCAAAAAGAGACGAATTGAAATAAATAAAAAGAAAAAACGAAGAAAGAGAAAGATCGAAGAGGAGAAGGGGGATAAACGAAAAGGGAAGTGCGCGCAGAGAGGGAAAGGCAGGAAAAAATAGAAGAGAAGGCGAGATGAGAAGCGGACAAGCAGGAAACGGAAATTTAATTAGCGGGACACACTCGTCGGACGTATCCTTATTTTCATTGTTTTCCACGGGCCCACTCTGTGGCAGGCTGTTATCGTCGAGCTCTGAAAGCCTCTCGAATAAAGGCCATCTTCAACGCCAAGCGCAGCTTCGACCGGTGAATTATATTTTCGAAACCGGAACTGAAAGATAAATGGACAATAAATAGGAAATCGAGGATAAGCCAACCAAGAGATGGAGAAAAAAAAGGAAGGAGGAAGAAGAAGAAGAAGAAGAAGAAGAAGAAGAAGAAGAAGAGAAGGAAATAGAAGGGGAATAAAGAATCGGTTGCACCAATGAATCGGATGACGCTCGATGAAATCTGTTTTAGTCAGCGTTGGTCCGTAATTGAAAGCCAATCAGTAGCTGTGATTCATTTGCGAATCTGTACTTTCCTTTCGTTCCAACGAGAATTTCCTTTATTAATTCGTTTCGTGTAGCTTTGTTTCTTTCAAGCAATTTTAAATTCATCTTCGATAAAGTGCATTCGTGTTATTATACTATATTGCTGTTGTTGAATGGATGATTATATATAAAAAAATTTAAAGGAATGAGCTTGCAGTTGAAATGTTTAGAAAAATAAAATAATATGCAAACATTTCGTTATTTTCTTATCCTATTTTTTTAATATGCATGTCCAATAATAATTAAAATTTTTGAAATTATATATAAAGAAGCATTTAACATTCCTCTTCTAACACGAGAATTATTCTACGACTATTACACTATTACTTATCACTTAGAGACATCTTTCCAAAAAAAAAAAAAGATTAAAAATTAGTATTCAATGACCAGAATCTGTATAATTATTACTATTACTTGCTATTCACCGTACACATATCTTCATCCTCTTTCTACCACATTCTCGTGACGAATAGGCAGTACGTATAAAACTGAGGGGGTGATGGGTCGTCGTGCGAACATATCTCACCCCAATCCGAGGAGACAGCGAATTCGAGCATTGTTCCACCGCTCTGCCTTATCACCGTTCTCCAATTCCCTTTGGAAGTGTCCTCTACACCTCGAAGAAGACCCCTGTGCGATTCTCAAGGCTTCGAGCGGAGCCAACTCGATCCTCGGCCGTGTCGTGTATCCACGCCCACCGGCTGCACCGAGTCGATGGCCATTGTACTTTAAACAAAGCGGCCGGCGTGAATTGTACGGGATTTAATGAAAGAAGATCGGCCCACCCTTCTATCCGTCCATTAGAATGGCGGCCACTCTCGACTGTCTTTAACCGGCGCCGATTTCTGAATTATTGAGAACACTTCTCATGAAATCGGCCGCCAACGCGGTGGTCCCGTGGAATCTGTTAAACGAACTGTGAACCGACGTCGGGGAATTTTTCATACCGAAAGGATTCTGTCTGTCCCTATACCCGAACGTTTCTCGTTCATTGTCATCGATTTTATTCGAAGGTCGTGCGGAATTAATGGGATAGATGAGCTTTGAAATTTTTCCTGTTTTCCTTCTTCTTCTTGCTAAAGAGAGATAAAACTGATGAGTTTCGTTCGAGGAAGAATCTGTTTCTGTAAAGAAGTGTACGGATCATAGTCTTCTGTTTACTCTCGAATTTAAGCATGAATTATAATTATAATTATTTTTAATATTTTCCAACTTTGGTGAAAAGCAATTGAAAAAATTCTTATTACGGAAAGAATATGTCTATATGTTCTATATTAAATAAACGTTTATTCAAGATACGATTTAATTGAAAATGTTTAAACTTAATCTTTATCTTTAGATTGATGAGCGATCAAGTAGTACCGCGGATGCCGCTACGTGGCGCAGGGTTGTGATCGGTTCTCGCTGACGATTTTGACGCTACGCGTATTTAATAACTGCCGATCGATGAGACGAATTTAACTAAAAATAGACAAATTTAACTATATATTTATTAGTACGTATTTGTGAGTGATTAAGTGAGTGATTGCTGAGAGATTGGTTGTGTGTATTTGGTTCCCTGCTTCATCATCCCATCGAGACACGTGAGTCTGATTTAATTTCTAATTATTTGGAGTGCATTAAAAGCACTGAATTTCTTGTTAAATTGTTGCAACTCTATTTCAATTTTTGTTAAATTGAAATTATTATTTGATAATTTTGTTTGAATGTACAATTGACATTTGATTTAATTGTGTTTCGAATATATTATGGACAAATCCTAATGGATTTAATTTGTATGGACCAAATTGAATTGATCCATCTTAAAGATATACATATATAATATAGCTATAAATTATAATACAACATAATGACAATAATAATAATAATAATATTTATTATTTCTATTTTTATTGTCATTACATTAATATTGATAAATAATAGTAATTAAAAAAATATTTTCCAATGTATGTTGCACGAATACAATACCACCTATATAATATAATTCCATAACAATTTAACAAACGGCAGAATACATTCTTCTTTCATAATTCAAGTTATTTCCAATATTCTCGATATCTGTAAAAAAAAATAATCTCATCACGCTTATTTCAACTTTCTCACAAGCTCATCGCGCGCTACCCAAATTTACCCTAATTCCTTTATCATAACCACCCCTCCTCCCGGCATACGTTATCAAACTTTTGAACGTTGTAACGAAAGATAGTCGAATCGAGAACGGTTCGAAACGGTTCGAAACGTGAAAATCCGTGGGAAGTTTCTCGATTGCCTTCCGGTTTGCTTCGGGAATCGTCACGAGACCGCCGGTCTCACCCCGGCGGAAGCGGAAAAAACGCGGTACGCGTCGGGTAACTTAAACACAGCCGCGCTACAATGTAATTACTCCCGGTGAACTTTTTACTTTGCTCGTGGATAAATGCACACACAGTCTCTCGACGCGCAGCTAGAGGTAGTTTACGAGGGCGGACGCTCCTCGGCGTGTCCGCCGTGTTCGTCGAAAATTTCTCGGGAACGGTCTCGGTGAGAAAGTATTCACCGAGAAAAGTTGGCGGCGTTCAAGCACCAGCCACCGCTTAGTTTCACGCGTCGAGGAAAAAGCTGGCCCGTCCTCGTACGAAAGTTTGCGTACGATTACCTCTCTTTTTCTTGCCGCGGCGGTTAACAAGAAGGAGAGACGAAGAGGTCACTCTGCACGGCGATTTGCAACGCCTCGTGGCGAAAATACTTGGAGCATCGTGGGGGATGGGACGAAGGGGGATGGCTTAACGATGGCCGGGCAGGGATAAGAGAGAAACGAGTTGAACTTTTTGACGACTGGCAGCGCCGAGCCACGAGATAAACGTCGCCCTTTTACGGGTGCCGCCAGTAGATAGTGGTCGGTACGGGTCAGACTCGGCCGACATTGGCGTAACGACTTGTTTTGTCAGGCGCCGCCTCGAAAGACACAAATCACTCACGGGGCGGAGGGGAGTAGAGGGGAAACGATCGGATGGGTCTATCACGGAAATCGCTGTGATGGCCGTTCCGAAGAGTTTCGGGAGAAAAGTGGCGCCGTGATGAGAATTGGAGATCTTTGGAGTCGATGACGGTGGAATGTTGGATGCAAATGAAAGCCCCGGAGGATATTTAGTAGATCGAGTCTTTTATTTCGGTGACCTATGAATGGAATTAAAATGAAATTGAGATTGAAATTTCAAATATTAATGTCGATGTCGAACTATATACACGTTAATATCTATGTATAAATGCATATAGGTATATACTTTTTAATGTAGTTTTCGAAATATGTTTTTTTCTTTACGTATAATAAAGCAGTCGATTATTCAAACAAATCTTTATAGCTATTCTTCTTCTATGTATGCATTTATGATTAGTATACGTGTGATTTATTAATTATTCATATAAACACATTGCCACATCTAGCAAGTAATATAAATAAGTATAATGAGTAATAATATCACTTAGCGTTCTTCGAAATACGAACGCAAAACCTAAAGTGTCTCACTTCGTATTATTATCTTTATTTACGTCATTATTTTTTTCCGTGGTGAAAAAAATACACTTCCTGTTTCAGATAAAAATCAGGTTTCAAAGAGAGCACGTTTTAATATTATTTACGTTTCCATAGATAGACGGGTGGAACTCGTGAATGAGGGTTATTAAATTATTTTTTTTTAAATAGAATCGCGATACATCGATTGATGCAATATGTCACGATACTGATTGCAAGTTATAATCGGTGGACATAAATTTATAAAGTTAGAATTTCACGACACATTGGCTCGCAAAAGCAACACGTGACGTAATAAATAAATTTAAAATATACAGCTTATAAATAATTAATCATCATGGGACAGAGTTGAATATGCACGTCAGTCAGGCATGAAATTAAATCGACGGCGGACTTTTCCATAGTGTCCACCGCAGGGTAGTAATGGTGTCGATTATATTTGGAGATATATATATATATATATATATATATATATAGTAAGTAA